TGAGGCTGCTTCGGCTGTTCCCTCTGCCGGGCCTCTGGCAGGCAGTCGGTTTCTCCCACCAGGCCCAGCAGCTCCGAGAGGGGGCCGGGGCCGAGTGCCAGCCTTCGCCTGGGCAGCCTAGAGTCCAGGCCCAGCAGCTGCCCTGTGGCCGATCCACTTGGCCTGGCTGGGGTGGGTGGAGGCTGCAGCTGGGAGCTGCCGGGGGGCGGGGGGGGGAGGAACCCAAAGCAGTCTTGCCCCACCCACGGAAGCAGCCCCAAGCAGGGCTGGGCACGGGGTCAAAGGCTCCCAGCCGAGGGTAGTGGGAAAGAGAGCCCCATTTGCAAAGGTGTGACTTTCGCCACTCGGAGCCTTAATTGTCGTCACTCTGGGCTTGGGAAGTGTGCAGGCAGCCATTCACACAGCCCTGAGAGCCGCTAATGCTCTGGCTGGCCTTCCTGGGATCAGCTGCCCTGGAGCAGCCCCTCCCGAGTCGCCCCCCTCCCCCCCCAGCCCCAGGCCAGGTGGACTAGGATGGATTCAGCAGCCCCCCCCACCCCTTTCGCCCAGCAGCCAGAAATGCCCTGTGGGAAACTGAAGAAAGGCCCTGCTCAATGGAGACCCTCTGGGAGGGGCCTCTCCCCCCCTGCCCCCCCCATCCTCCCAAGGCTCGGGAGCCTTTGCCCCTCCATTTGCCTGAGGGGGGGGGTCTTCCTGCTGCTGCTTTCCTGGGCCTTTATAGTTGGATCCTCCTGCAATTCATCCCCTTCACCAATCAGCCTTTTTTTCATTCACTGAGGGGGGGGGTCTTTCATTAGCCACAGGCACCGCTGGAGACCAGAACAGAGGGACTGAATTGGGGGGGGTGTTGCATAATACTTTCTCCTTTCAGCTTGTCTGTTGCCTTTGCTCGGCCTCTCCTTCACCAAGAGATTTTCTCCTTCATTTCTGTCCCTCCGGTGGGAAACGCTCCCCAATGTGTCCCAGGAGCTCAGGGGAAGCCCCACCAAGGTTTCCCGGGAGACCCAGGGATCCTGGCAGCCCCCCCCCGCCTGCCTCCCCCACTGGCCCCACAGCGCAGCCCCAGCTCTCCCCCCCCTCCCCGGCCCTCTCCTGCTGGTCTGGACTGTCAGCCGGGGCTCCCTGGGCAGGGTCTGCAGGTGGGCTCAGGGCTTCGGCCCTCGCTGACTCGCAGCCTGGCGCTGGCTCTCCTCTTTCCCCAGAGAGTCCCCTGCCCTCTTCCTTGACCCGGCCAAGCTCCCTGGGTGGGTTCCCTGCTCCAGTCCAGGCAGCCTCCTCCACCAGAGGGCCTGTGCAAAGGGGGGTCCCTGCCTTTCTCTGCCCCCCACGAAGGGCTCCTCCTGCCCCCATCACCCCACTGGCAGCTCCTCTCCTCCGTTTGCTTCCTAATCCAGGGACAAGAGGGGCTTCCCCTTCTCCCCCCCAGATCCCGGGAGGGCCAGAGCAGCCCCTCGGCCTCCGCGCTCCCTCCAAAGTCCACGGGGCAGAACGAGGTCCTCCAATCTTGCTCCCTGCCCCCCCGGCAGGCCCAGGCCCCCTCCTGCCCCGAAGGAAGCTGGCACAGGCTGCTCTCCCGGCCCTTCCAGGCCCACCCCCAGGAAGGGACGCTGTGGCGAAGCACTTCTCACCGGCCCACCTCCACAGCCCGAAGGGATCGATCGGCGGAAAGTGGCTGCCTGTCCCTTCCCCTCTCCTGGCAATGGCCGCTCTTCCCCCAGGCTGGGAAAGGGGCAGAGTTCCCAGGGCCGGGTGTAAAAAAGGGCCCACCCTTGTCTAAACACAGAGCGCCTGGTGCGAGGCCTCATCCCAAGTCTGCAGCTCCTGGGACAGGCCAGGTGGGAAGGGAGGCTGGCGGGTAGCAGCCGCCTCCAGGAGCCCCAAGGGCAGGCAGGTCCACCCGGGTTTCTTCTGCGGAGGCTGCCTGCCATCCGCCCTCGCAGGAGCAAATCTCATCATCCCCGCTCAGGCATGGCAGCCCCTTCAAAGCCCCTGAGCTGCCCACCCTCCCCAGCCCAGCCTGGGGCGGGTGAGATTTCAAGGGGGCCTCTTTGGCGTCTCACACACTCAGCAGCAGCCTCTGAAAGCTTCTGATCCCGCAGAGGAGACCCTTGACTGACCACCCAACTAGCTCAGAACCGCTGGGAATTAGTACGAAGGTAGCAAATAGGTGGAGGCTTCCTCTTATCTAATGCACCAAGGAAGAGACCTGCCCATATCGGTTATTTTTACAACCTATGTGTAGAAAACCTAGCACCCCCCCCCCCCCATGCAGAAGCCTTTGAAAGAGAAAGTGGGGGGGGGACCCCCTTTTAGAACAGACCTCTTTGCTTTGTCATTTCCAAACCCTTCAATCCTGTCTGTGACCCTCACCCGCCTCTCCCTTGTTCTCGCACACCTCACAACAGGAGCAGAAAGACCTGGGGCCTCCCTTGGCCTTGGCACCCAGCAAGTGGGGGTGGGGTGGGGGGGTGGGCTGTGTCCCATAAAAGGAGTCCCCCCCCCCAGCACAATGGCTGCTGCACTTTGCCTCAGGACCCCAGGGCGCTTCGTGGAGCAGCAGCAGCAGCAGCAGCAACAGGCCGGGGCGGAAAGTCTTGCGGCTTCTGCCCCTCTCACTCCGGAGGGCCTGCCCGGCTCCGGGGCCCTCGGAGAGGCTCCGGCATGTGCTGGGAATGCGAGGGCGGCCCCTCCGTGGGGAGCTGCCAGGGCCCCGCAGGCAACGCTCCCCGGCCTGGGCAAGCGGGGGGCGGGGCGGGGGGGCAGCTGCCTCGCGGGGGGGGCCTCCCGCAGCCCCCGCCGCGCTTTCCCAGGCCCGGCCGCCCCCGCCGCGCTCCGAAGTGCGAAGGTGCCGGCCGAGGTGCCAACTTCACACCTGGGCGGCATAAAGCGCTGCCCGCGCGGCCCGTCCCTCCCGAGCGCCCCAGCCATGGCCCGCAGCACCCGCAGCACCCGCGCCTCTCCGGACCTCGGCCCGGCTTTCCCGCCCAGGCCCTCCGGCTGCCTGTGCCCGGGCTCCAGCGGCGCCTCGCCGGCCTCCTCCCCGGACTCGGGCGGCTCCTCGCCGGGCGGGCGGGCCTGGCGGGCGGGCGGGCGGGCGCGGCTGGGCGGCGGGCAGCGGCAGAGCGCCAGCCAGCGCGAGAAGCTCCGCATGAGGCGGCTGGCCCAGGCCCTGCACGCGCTGCGCCGCTACCTGCCCGCCTCGCTGGCGCCCGCCGGGCAGAGCCTGACCAAGATCGAGACGCTGCGCCTCGCCATCCGCTACATCGGCCACCTCTCCGAGCTGCTCGGGCAGGAGGCGCGCCCGCCGCCGCCGCCGCCCCGCCTGCCCGCCCCGCCGCCCGCCCAGCCGCAGGCGGAGTCCTGGCGCGCCGCTCCCGCCTGCCCGAGCTGCGGACCCGGCGGCCGAGCCGGCGCGGCGCTCCTCCCGGCCGAGCCGCCCGCCGCGCCCCCGTCGCCCGCCTGCCAGGTAGGTCCCCGGCCCGCCCGCCCGCCCGCCCTCCCCGCGCGGGACGCTGGCGCGGCGGGTGGCTCACCGGCTCCCGTCTCTCCCCGCAGAGTCTCCCCGACGAGCTGCTCTCCTTCCTGGAGGACTTCTTCCCGCTGGCGGCCCCCGGCTGGGACTGAGCCGGCCCCGCTCGCCAGCAGCGGCAGCGGCAGCGGCAGAAGAGGCGCCCCGCGCCCGCCGGACGGAGCGGCGCGCTCTCTGGGCCGACTAGCAGCGGCTGGAAGCGGCCACCCGAGGGACCCCGCGCCGGAACGGGCTTCCGAGCAGGCGCCGAGCGGCGAACGGGAAGGACCGAGCGCGGCCCCCGGCTGGGCGGGTTCCCGGAGGCCCCTCCGGCCGAGGTCGGGGCGCCGGGAGGAGCAGGCGCCCCCTGGTGGCGGTTCCTGCCCCGCTTGCTCTGGCGCGAGGCCCTTTGCGGCCCTTGGGGGCCTTTGGGCGGCTGCTCGCCCTTCTCTCGGAGCCTTCGGGACGCTTTGCGAGGCTTTGACGAGCCGGATGGTATTTATTATTGTTATGGTTATTACGATGGAGCCCAGTGGGGTGAAATAAATGCTTTTGAAGAAGTTGGAGCTGAATGTCGTGGTGTTTGCTGAGAAAACCTTGGACCCTCGAGAGCAAAGACCGTGGAAGAAGGCGGGGAGGGGTGGGGGGTGGGGGAGTCCCGGGGGGGGGGGGGGAGTCCCGTTCTCGGCCTTGGGCCACAAACCGCCTTGACGCAAAGGATTAGGAGTTGCTGGAGCCCCCCCCTCCCCCATGGCTACCTGTCCAGGTTGCTGGGGTGGGCTGGGAGCACCTTCCCCATAGCAGCAGCAGCAGCCCAGGGGCCCTAGAAGCTGCTCCAAACTGACCCCCAACTCAGCCCCCTCCCCCCCTAAACGCAGAGAAGAGAGGACCCCAAGGGCCACTTTCCCCAGGCACCTCCAGGAAGAGGCTGCAGCCCGGCCATCCAACCCGCTGCCCCACGGCCATTCTCTGGGGCAGACCGCGCAATAACTCCTTTATTTAAATCACTTGGATTCTGACCCTCCTGGGTCCAAAGACATTTGCCTCCTGGGCTAGCTGCCTTTCGTGGAACAAGCCTCTGGGCCCGTTTCCCTGGTTGCACAGCCCGCTGCTGAAGGGGCTTAGGGCCAGGTGTGAAGATCCGCCCCCCCCCACCCCACCCAGCTCTGACAAGAGCCACCTGGCTGCCTTCTGGGGTGGGGCTGAGCAGATGTGACCCTGGGCAGAATCCGAGGGACGTCTGTCTGTCCAAGGGCGTCTCTCAGAGTGACCAGCCCTGGCTGTCGGCAGGCCCCCTCAGGCTGCTTTCCCGGGGCTGGTGAGGCAGAGAGAGGCTGGTGAGGCAGAGCCGAGGTAGGCTGCTGAGACCCCCGTGGAGGGCAACGGAGGGAGGGGAGGGGGCTGCTGCTGGGGAGCGGCACTGCCTCCAATGACCCGCCTTGCCTCCCTTCTCTCCCACCCAGGGAGGCAGATTCACCCCCCACCCACCCCCATGGAGTACAACAGGAGCGGGCTCTGGGGCAGGGGCTCCTCTTCCAGAGGCCCGGAGGAGCCGGTGGTGGTGCTGCCCGTCTTCTCGGCTGCCGCTCAGGTCCGGGTGGGGCTCACCCTGCTGCTGTGCGTGATCTCGGCCTCCTGCAACCTGGCCCTGCTGTGGAGCGGCTGGCGCAGCAGCAGGCCAGCAGCCAAGGGCTCCCACGCACGCCTCCTGCTCCTGCACCTGGCGGTGGCCGACCTGCTGGTGGCCTTGGTGGTGATGCCCCTGGACGCGGCCTGGAACATCACGCTGCAGTGGCAGGCTGGGGACGTGGCCTGCCGGCTCCTCATGTTCCTGAAGCTGCTGGCCATGTACGCCTCGGCCTTTGTCACCACTCTGATCAGCCTGGACTGCCAGGCGGCCATCTTGCAGCCCCTGGCCACTGCCCGGGCCTGGCGCAGGAACCAGGTCTTGCTCTACGGGGCCTGGCTGATGAGCGCCAGCCTCTCCACTCCACAGGTACCCGACTCGGCTCGCCCGGGCAAGGAGTCTCCCCCTCCCTGGGCTAGGGGCCCGTGGCCTCGGGGGAGGGCTTGCGCAGAATCAGGCTCTGCTCCCAACCCTTCTCTCCCCCCCCCACCCCAATTCCTGCCATTGTCCCTGCAGCTGTTCCTGTTCCACACGGTCACCATCCGCTCCCCCCAGAACTTCACCCAGTGCACCACCCAAGGCTCCTTCGCCCGGCACTGGCACGAGGTGGCCTACAACATGTTCGGGTTCCTGGGCCTCTTCCTGCTCCCGCTGCTGGTCATGAGTGCTTGCTACACCCGGGTCCTCTTGGAGATTTCACGGCACGTCAGCTCCTGCAACCACTGTGAGTCTGGCGGGGGGGGGGCAGGGGAGGGCCCAGTGGGGCAGCACCGTTGCTTCCCTTCACCTGGGAGTTCACTCATGCCTTTCAAACTCGAATGGACTCCTCCTGCTGCAGATTTAGCCTAGGGCAGTGGGAGCTAGCCCTTTTGGGCCCCTGTGCCAAAAATTACGTGCATGCCAGCACCCAGAAGGCAATGCACACCCCCACCACGCCCCCATGCATGTGTGCGCGATCCCCCCCTGCCGCCCCCTTACCTGCACTGTGCAAGGGCACCTCCCAGATGATTTTTGGCCCGTTTGAGGTCTTTTTCAGCCTCCTAGAGGCTCCTCGAGGGAAGCCTCTGTAGCCTTTGGAGGCCGAAAAATGGGCCTGTTTTGTCACTTCTGGTATTTCCGGAAATATAGGAAGAATTGTCTGTTCATTACGAACAGGCACAAAACAAGCGTTTTAGGAGAAATCTGCATTAAGCAGTGAACGTACCAGACCCTGGGCGCAAGGAGAAGCTGAGGAGTCCCCAAGGCCCCCAGGCTGACCCGGCTGCCTTCTCTCTTCCAGGGTCTGCCCAAGAGATGCCCCTGCGCCGCTCGCGCAACCCCATCCCCAGGGCGCGTCTCCGCCTGCTGCACCTCAGCCTGGCCATCGTCGGCTCCTTCGTGCTCTGCTGGACCCCTTACTACCTGCTGGGCCTGTGGTACTGGTTCTGGCCAGAGGGCATGGAGAGGGCAGTGAGCCCCTCGCTGGCACACATCCTCTTCCTCTTCGGCTTGCTCAACGCCTGCCTGGACCCCATCACCTACCGCCTCTTCGCTGGGGGCTGGCAGGGCGGGTGCTGCAGGGCAGCCGGGCGAGGGAAGCAGCTGCCTTCCCCCATCACCGGCTCCTTCCAGGGCTCCGTGTCTTCTGCTCGCCCCCAGAGAGAGGGCAGGCTGCTCCCCTCTGACACAGCAGAGATGGCCCTGGGCCCGGGCTCAAGGCCCCTCCTGAGGACCTCTGCAGGCCCGACGGGCAGCCCTTGCCGCCAGCTGAGTGGGAAGGCTGTGAGGCCGAGGCTCCTTCAGAGCAGGGAGCAGCCGGCTCTCTCGCCTGGGCCGGAGGAGGAAGGGGCTCCGGCAGGGACCCCCCCGCAGGCCCCCTTGTCGGGGAAGGAGCCTGGGTGGCCCTGACTTGGGCTCCTTCTGAAGTGGCTGCGAGGGACATCCGGCTGTTCCCTCCTATTGCTTAAGCCATAACGGGCTTCTGGCACATCCGGTCCAGGCCTCTTTTTATGGTGCTGTGGCTTGTTCAAGAAATGGCGGCTCAACCCTCTCAGCCTCCTGATCTCCTTGTGGAGCCCGAAGAGAGCCGTGATAAGGGGCCCGGCCCCGCTTTCTCTCCCATAGAAAGCTCACGGGGGGGGGGGCTGAGTCTCCCCTCTTGGGGGGGGCAAGGGGGCACAGGTCAAAGACTGGCTGTTCCTTGGCAGGAGGCAAGTGGGCGGCCAGGCCCCTCTCTCCATCCTGGGCTGAGCCAGGGGGCTTTGGAGTGCTGGCCCTGACTTGCCCCCTGATGGGGAGTGGCTGGTTGGCCAGTTCCTGCCCTCCCCCTGGGAGGGGGGGATTCTCCCGGTTTTCCCCAGAAGAAACGGCTGAGCTTAGCTGAGCACAACTGGCCCAGCGTCTCCTGGGGTCTCCATGGCCTTCAGTCCAGGCCGCTTCGGTGCAAGGAGACCCGCTGGAACGATGGCGCCCAAGGAGGCAGTTCGGAGAGCCGCCCCTGCTGGGGACTCTGCGCTGCCCCTAGTGGTCCCCAGGGGAAAATGCTCAGAGGAAGCAGCTCTGCCCCACCCCCCTGTGGTCTTTGTGGGGGGGGGAGGTGGGGGGGGCTCCAAGTGGGTGAGGCAGGGGGAGGTCGGGGCCCTGTGGCTCTGGGGGAAGGGAGGGGACACTGGCAGACTGTCTGGCACTGGAAAACAGCCAGGGGAGTGACAGGGCTGCCGCCAGCCTCCACCTTGGCACCGGCTGTCCTTGGAAGAGCAGATCCTGGCCGCTGTGCCAGGCAGACCAGGGCAGGAAGGCCAGGCTCTCCCTGGAGCAGCCACCGGGGAGACCCTGCACGGCTGGATGGGCTCCTCCCTCCCTCCCTGCCTCAAGGGAGTTCCTGGGGGGAGGGGACAACTCCCCACGGCCTTCCCACCACGGGACAAGCCACTGCAGGTCGCTTTAACAATTCTGTTTAATTATTTAAAATAAATAAAAATTATTTTGATTTTTGCCATTCATGCTTCATTCTGTCCCTCATTTCGCATCCTTTCTTTAACGATTCTATTTCAGCATTTCTTCAATATCAGCTTCATTCCTGTCCTGCAGCAACGGGTGTCCGGGGCCCAATTGCCCGGGGCGTGTGTGCGTGTGTATGTGTGTGTCTGCGTGTGTGTGTGTGTGTTTGGAGCATTGCTCTTGGACTTATTGGGAACTGTGGGGGAAAAAGTTGGAGCAATAAAAGGGAGTTAAATCTTCACTCCGGCTGTGTTGCTTTCATGCCCAGCCCTGGGTCATCACACAGCATGACATGGTCGGATGCTTCCCTCCCCACCACGCTGGTTCCTTCTTGGGTTGGGTTGTTGTCCTGCCATTAAATTGATTAAGGCTGGCGGGGAGAAGAGGGGAGCTGGCTCTTGCCTAAGAGAGTTTGGGAGAGGAAGGGGGGGAATTTGCTCAGTAGGGAGTGTCATACCTTCATAAACGACTTAGAGGAGGGAATAGAAGGGGAACTGACCACATTTGTAGATGACACTAAGCTGGCAGGAATAGCTAACACCCAAGAAGATGATAGGCTCAAGGTCCAGAGGGATCTTGACAGACTAGAACACTGGGCCCTCTCTAACAAAATGAAATTCAATACAGAGAAAAGGAAAGTCCTACACTTAGGCAAGAAAAACCAAAAGGACACACATAGACTGGGTGAAACCAGGCTCAATAGCAGGAACTGGGAGAGGGATCTTGGAGTCTCAGTGGACAACCAGCTAAACAGGAGCCAACCGTGTGCAGCGGCAGCCAAAAAAGCCAATGCAGTCCTAAGTTGCATCAACAGAGGGATACAATCGAGATCAAGGGAGGTACCAATACCACTCCATAAAGCCTTAGTAAGACCACACCTGAAGTCTTGCATCCAGTTTTGGTCACCACACTATAAAAAGGATGTTGAGACTCTAGAAAGAGTGCAGAGAAGAGCAACCAGGATGATGTGGGGACTGAAGACTAAAACATGAAGAATGATTTCAGGAACTGGGCCTGGCTAGTCTCAGGAAGAGAAGGACCAGGGGAGGCAGGATAGCAGTCTTCCAATACTTGAGGGGCTGCCACAGAGAGGAGGAAGAGGTCAAGCTATTTCACAAAGCACCTGGAGGACAGGCAAGGAATAATGGATGGAAAGTGAACAAGGAGAGATTTAACCTGGAAATAAGGAGAAACTGACAGTGAAAACGATCAACCGATGGAACAGAAGTTGCTTTTGGAAGTTGTGAGAGCTTCATTCCTGGAGGCTTTCAAGAAGAGATTGGACTGCCCTCTGTCAGAAATGGTGCAGGGTCTCCTGCTTGGGTGGGGAGTTGGACTAGATGACCTACAAGGTCCCTTCCAACTCTTCCAATCTGTAAATCTGTAGTATATCTGGTAGCATCGTGATAAAGCTCAACCGTTTGGAGAACGATTCACGCTGGAATGATTCCATCCCAGGGTCCTGAAGGAGCTGGCAGATGCGATCTCAGAACCATGGAACCAAATCTTTCAAAGATCCTGGAAAACCTTTTCCTGCCAGAGGGCTGGAAAAGAGCCCACCAGGCTCCAATCTTTTAAAAAAAAGGGTGGGGGGAGTAGATGCAGGAAATTTGAGAGCGCCTGGTGCAGCAGGGGGCGCTGCAGGAGAGGGAACGAGCGCGGCTGGGCTGCTCAACCTCCCAGCCAGGGGGCTCCTGGGGGGCTCCAAGTGGCAGCTTTCCGCCCATTCCAACTTCCTGCTGTAACTGAATGCTGCACCTTTGACGAGAAGCAACGGGCGGCCCACCTGGAACTGGGCCACACCTCAAAGGGTTACTGGGGAATTAGGACCGTCAAACCTCGGGGGGGGCGGGAAACTGGGGCGTCTTCTCTGGCGAGCAAGGAACATCTCCACTGTCCTTCGGATCGTCTCCCAATGTCCCTTTTCTCTTCTTCAACCACCTGATATACCTGCCCACATTCCCTGCCCACCTATTTTCCTTGGAAAGTAGACTCTGTCCACTTTGCTGAGTGGATGGAGGGCAGGATTCACGGCCATGATCCTGGTCTTCCTATCGGGGGCTTTTAATTCTGTTTCGGTCCACAATTCCAGCTGTGTATCTAAGGACTGGCATTGCCCAGGTGTTAATTGCCTCGATGGTATTCCCTCCACTGAGTTTGGACTTTGAGATCTTCGTCCCTCTCTTGATCCACTCACTTTTAATCTTTTTCTTCACTTCCGTGTGTTTGATGTTGTCAGCTTGAAGGATGCCCAGATATTTGTGTCGAGTGGGACAATTAACCATGGGCACAGGACTGTGCCCGCTTCACCATGGGCATTTACACTCAGCTGCCAGCCTGCCCCCTGCCACTGATCCCCCACCCCCTCATCTCAGGTGATTCACAGAGGGACACGTGTCGCCAGCCAATTGGCTGTGCGGGACAAATAGCTGTGCGTCCTGGCAGCAAAAGAACTGCGTCCAGTTTTGGTGACCACACTATTTAAAAAAAAGATGTTGAGGCTCTAGAAAGAGTGCAGAGAAGAGCGAGGGGAGTGGAGGCTTAAACATATGAAGAACGGTTGCAGGAACTGGGCTTGGCCAGTCTAGGGCAGCAGAGATAGGAGAGCGGTCTTCATTGGAGGGGCTGCCCCAGAGAGGAGGAAGGGGTCAAGCTATTCTCCAAGGCACCCAAAGACCAGACAAGGAAGAATGGATGGAAACTGACCAAGGAGAGATTCAACTTAGAAATAATAAGAAATGAGGTGAGGACAACCCATGGAACAGAAGTTGCCTTCAGAAGTTGTGGGATCTTCATCACTGGAGGCTTTCAAGAGGAGACTGGACTGCCACCTGTCAAATGACGTAGGGTCTCTGGCTTGGGGGGTGGGTGGACTAGATGACCTACAAGGTCCCTTTCAACTCTGTTAGTCTAATCTAATCTAATCTCCGTGCTGAAGGGCGAGCCTCTGCCTTCCCACTGGATGTGCTGGAACGCAGTGGGGAAAGAACGCCTGACCTAAAGTGATCCCTGAATATGAATTGCAAGATGGAAATAAAACAGATTCTGGAAAGCTAGTTGGTAGAGAATCAGTTCTCCAGTCAGATTGCAGATTCTGAGTATTCCTACCTGCTCCATAAAAAGATTTTCACACCCGCAGCAGAACGTGTGTGCTCTGGCAGCTGAGTTTGTCCACAGGACCTGCTTTTTTTCCATAGACAGCTTTGGTGTCCTGGGCTTTCCACATTCCTGGGATGTGGATGCTGTTGGAGAGAAATCTGTGCCCCATCTGGCCGGCAAGGCCAGCCAATAAGCAGACGATGTTCTTACTGGGTTCTCCTTCAGGGCAGGGAGGAGGATGACCTTGGCAGGCTCACTCGCAAACGCTTTGTCTTCTGAAGTCTGTCCTCAGGCCCAGCCAGGGACGCTGAAGCATTTGTGCCTGGCAACCCACAATCATAACCTGCCCCGATTCTGAGGAGGTGAGGAGGCTGATGAGGGTATGCAAGCACGTCTTCAGTTGAGGCGAGGGTGTCACTGTGCACAGCCTTCAGTAGCCCTTGGGAACAATAGCAACAGCCCTTAGACTTATATACCGCTTCACAGTGCTCTCCATCTCCTCTCTAAGCGGTTTACAGAGTCAGCCTTTTGCCCCTCCAACCATCGGGGTCCTCCTTTTACCCACCCGAGAAGGACAGAAGGCTGAGTCAACCTTGGATCCGAGGGAGCAGGAGCGACGCTCCGAGAAGGTCCTGAAATCTGGCCGGGCAGCAGTGCCGCTCAGGCCGGGGAGGCCGCTGCAA